CCCCACCGTCAGACCTGAGGTCACTGGCGGCCTTGTCCAGCCCCACCATCGGTCTGGGGACAATGGCAGCTCTGCCTACTAGTCCTTGGCACTAACGACAAGGAGGAACACCTGGTCCTCACCTGACCCGACAGAGCGGAAAGGGCCTCTGTCACCAACACCCCGCCGGCCCCACTGTCCTCTGGCCCACGTGGCCCTAGCTAGAGGGACTAGGTACCCTCTGTTCCCAGCAGGCTGTCTGCGGCATCATCCGAGCTGTCTTCCAAGAGGCGTCAAGGCAGGTGCTGGGCACCCGACCGAGAAGGTGCACTGTGGGGTGCAGGTGGGTCAGCAGGCAGTGCATGGCAAGGGGCACTTGAGTCACCTGGTGGGTGGGGGCGGAGGCAACTTGTCTCGGAGGCGTCGCAGCTGGGCGGCTGCAGAGGTGGGGTCCGATGCCTCCTCGTCCCTCCTCGCACTTGGGCGCGAGCCATGAGCCGCAGATGCCCCCGGCAGGCCTTTCCTCAGGGTCTGGACAGGGGCTACGGGGTCCAGTCCTGGAATAAGAGACAAGGGTCAGCTTGCATGCCCCTCCATGCTGCTTAGAGCCCTGCACCCCACCCGGAGCTCCTGGGGCAGGGAGGGGCCGGTGCTCATCCCGGCCCTGAAGGCCGGAGACCTGGCTGCTATGCTGTGGAGGGGTCTGGACTGGCTCTGGGCTGCCTGCCCACAGGCTTCCTGCCCCTTCAGCATCTCTCAGAGAAGCTACGGAGGGCCACACATTCTCCCAGTGTCTTCTGGTCTCTCTGTTCAGCCCTTTCTAGCTGTTGTGCCAGGTGGTGTCCAGGAGCTGAACTGGCCAAGGGCATGAGAGACACGAGGGTGTGGATCGGAACACCCAATACTCTCCACCAGAGGGCAGCCCCTGCCTCCTGAAACCCAGCAGAGGACACGTCCAGGGCTGTGTCCTGAGTCCTCCCTTCTGCAGTTGCCATGCAGCCAAGGGTGGTCCCAGCTCTGTGGGACCCTACGGGGGAGGCTGAAACACCCCCGAACTCAGTGCACACGAAAGGAGGGAGACATCTACAACCAGGAGAAGATAAAGTAGATGAATGGGACCTTCTAAGAATCAAATCCCTATGCACATCCAAAAACTTCTCCAACAGGGTAAAAAGGGAAGCCACAAACTGGGGAAAAGTATTTGGTAATGACATGTCAGATAAGGGACTTATATCTAGAATTTATAAAATAGATGATCACCACAAGATAAAGGTAAACAAACTAATTGAAAAATGGGCACAGGATATGAACAGACATTTCACCAAAAAAAACATTCAGATGGCCAACAAGCACATGAACAAATGTTCAAAATCCCTAGCTCTAAGAGAGATGCAAATCAAGACAACTATGAGATATCATCTCACCCCAGTCAGAATAGCAAAATTTAATAGAACAGCAAACAACCAATGCTGGTGAGGTGTGGAGAAACTGGAACACTTACTCACTGCTGGTGGGGAGTGTAAAATGGTGCAACCATTAACGGAAGGTGGTATGGCACTTTCTCAAAAAGTTGGAAGTAGAAATACCATTTGACCCAGCGATTCTACCAGTGGGAATATACCCCAAAGAGAACATAACTGACATCCAAGCAGATAGATGCACACCCATGTTCATCGCGGCTTTGTTCACAACAGCAAGGAGTTAGAAACACCCTGAGTGCCCATCAACAAACGAATGGTAGAGAAGCTGTGGTATATTCACACAATGGAATACTACTCTGCATTGAAAAACAAGGAACTCATGAAATATTATTCACAATGGGTGATCCTGGAGGATATTACGCTGAGTGAAGTATCTCAGTCACAAAAGGACAAATATTGCATAGTACCACTGTTGTAAAACAGGACTGACATCAGGGTTGGGGCGAGACTGAGAAAGATGGGTTCAAAAATGTATACTGCATTGAAACAGATGAGGGAGAAAATGGTTTAAAAGGGATATGTGATTAGGTATTTTTGTTAGGACAGGAGTCTAGAACGAAAGCTGCATAGTAGAGTGGACTTGGGGGAAGGGATTGTATAACAATGAAATAATTTTTCTTACACTTTTCCAAGAGAAGAGTGTACTGGGGTCAAGGGGTGGGCAGCGAGAAAAGTGCAACAATGAACTGAATGGAAATCCAAAGTCTCTGTAGATTTTCATGAAAATCAGTAAAAAAAAGCTAAAAAGAAAATAAAGAAAGGAGGGAGACAAACCAATACACACCACAAGCAGCTGGCAGCCCAGGTGAGCAAGGGCATTCCACACAGCCGGTTACACGGTCGTCAAAAGATACAGGAAGCCGCAGGGAACAGCAGAATGTAGAAACCAGAGGAAGGGGAGGATGTGGAAGAGTAGAGGTGAAGTGAAGACTCAGCCCAGGGCTGGGCTGCAGAGCAGAACGGGGCGAGGAGTGGACACCCAGACACTGAGCTGGGAGCGAACCAGGAAGCAGCCTTTCAAGTCGAGAGGTACAAGTACTGACATCCTCAGTACTGGGGTCCCAGCAGCGTAGGAAAAGTAAACAGGGTGTAGAAAACAGCCTAAGATGTAACGAGCTAGAATCATCCCTGGATCAGAGGACTTGGAAGGGCTCACTGAGCACCCAAGAAGAGACAGCCACCATGTCTGACGGACCCCAGCTGACAGACCATGGGTGACAGACTATGGCGGGACGGACCATGGCTGGAAGGACCACTGATGAACGGACCACAGCTGGACAGACCATGGATGGACAGACCATGGGTGACAGACTATGGTGGGACGGACCATGGCTGGACAGACCATGGCTGGAAGGACCACTGCTGAACGGGCCACAGCTGGACAGACCATGGATGGACAGACCATGGGTGACAGACTATGGTGGGACGGACCATGGCTGGAAGGACCATGGCTGGAAGGACCACTGCTGAACGAACCACAGCTGGACAGACCATGGCTGACGGACCAAGGCTGGACGGACTGCAGGCTATGAGATTTACACACAAGACAGCAAAACCTGGGGAAACCTCTCAAGAGAAAAAGCCAAGGCTCACAAAGAAATAAACCCTCCCTGGACATCAGCATTCTCAACAGCAGTGAGGCCGGAAGGTGGTTTAGGAAGGTCACTTTGAAAGCACTGAGGGAAGATAGTCACAGACTTTGATACCCAGCTAAACTGGCACTTCCCAAGCAAGGCTAACCAGTCATCCGTGGAGGAGCCAACCCTCAGAGGTGCTGCCCGAGGACCTGCTGCCCGAGGACCTACTGCCTGAGGACCTGCTGCCCGAGGACCTGCTGCCCGAGGACCTGCTGCCTGAGGACCTGCTGCCTGAGGACCTACTGCGGAAGCTCTCAGAGCAGCACTGGACCAAGAAGAGAAGGCATTCAAACCGAGTGCGTTCTCTGCAGATCTTACTGTCCACAAAAAAAAAAAAAGAAAAAAGAAAAAAAAAAAGAGTATCTGGAATCATTCAGAACAACACCCAGTTCTCAAAGCAGCAGTTCCAGGAGACAAAAAAATAAGCTAATTATGGATGATCTGTAGAACTCTACTAAAAAGCCTAGATACTGCAAACATTCTACCCAACACATTCCTTTCAAACATGCATAGAAAACGGATGAAATCCATCAGGTTTATGTTACGGAGAAACTACAATAACATCTGAAGAGGCAACCTCAGTCAGACGATGCTCTCTGAATTCCCATGGCTAGAGAGCCCTGGGTCTGACGGCTCATGCACTTTATACACAAGCGTCCTCTCTCTCTCTCATGCATATACAGACGGAACAAAATCAGCTGCCAATGAGTCAGGTCCCGCTCCTAAACCCTACAGGATAGAGAAGAACTGCACATACAGTTTACCCAACTATAGTCTTTGATTCACTATCAATAAATACCCTTGCTACCAGCGGTCAGGAGACCAGAAGACGTATTGTATTGGAACAGTATGCAGTCAGCGACCTCTCCAAATTATTGAGGAGCAATGATGTCAGCTCAAAGACTAAGGTGTGCCTGATCTAAGCCATGGTCTTTCCAATCACCTACAACGCAGCTGAAAGCTGGACAAGTAACAACAAAAGAATGGATGCCACTGAGCTGCGGTGATGGACAAGAGTACTGAATATTCATGGGCTTCCAAAAGAGCATGCTTCTGAGAAATGGAGGATGATAAGAGAATGATGAACCCGTGGCTGCACAACGGGGGTGTGTCAGAGAGAGAGAGAGAGAGAGAGAGAGAGATTCCATACAGTGGAAAAGAACTTGTTTGAATTACATTCAAATGTTTGGTGGAAGCGGAACTTGTAAATGAAGCTGGGCCTTAGGCTGAGATTTCTGCACAGTCTTAAAGGGCAGTGAGGTTTCTCCTTGCGGCTTATAGTAAAATGCAAAGGCAAAGAGATGGACTTGAAAATGAACTGTGCAAAAAGGAAGTGAGAACTCAGAGATCTGGGAAATTCCATGGTGTGCACTAAGGGCACGTGCCCTCAAACTGTCATCACAGTGACTCTGTCTTCTGTTAAAGCGTTTCCCTCAAGGAAATAAGAACCATTTGAGAGCAGAGTAACTCGGAGAACTAGTGGGCCTCTGAGAGCTCTGGTGGCTGAGCCTGCAGGAAGCCGGGCTACTAGCCCGGCCAGGGCTGTGGACAGAACACAGAACACGGGCTAACTGTGCTTTAATGGGTCAGAGCCTCACCAATTAGGTTTTGGAGTTCAGGGTGGCAATTGGTTGGGCCAAGAGGATGGGGCCATTCACCAAAGATGAGGAGACAGGGCTGCCATGGCCACTGGCAGAAGAGCGGAGTCTCCCAGGGTCAAAAGGACGGGGTCACCCCTTATGGACCAGGAGGACAAATCACCCAAATCCAGTGGGGTAAGTGGGCGTACGAGAGGCCTTGAAGGTGGGCCTCCACCCCGGGCTGTGGGGTCGTCCACCAGCCGCTGAGGGCATGGTCCACATCAGTGCCTACTGGACAATTATGCTAATCACATCTCACTTATAGAAACTTCTCAACTCTCCCACTTATCATTTCAGCAAAGAAACTGAGGCAGGTGACAACATAGTCAGCCCAGACACACTCATACCCCCCCCCCGCCCCAACCGAGGGGAGGCAAGACTGATAAGTGAACAATGTGACATTTAGAGAGATACAATCACAGCCGAAGGATCAATACAAGAATTCCTAAGAGTTACAAGAATGAAATATATTTTTCATTGATTTGTTGTTTTAGACCATTAAAAAGATGGGTAAGCGTGTTAAAGCAGGGTAAATACTCTGGGTACAGAAACACCCCACCGTCCTTACACTGTTGAAGAAAATCAATCCCACTGACATATTTCCAAAGTGAAAAATCCCCAGAGCTGACAGCACCCGGGCCTGCAAGTGAGCATTTCCAGGAGGTCCGAGGGCACCCATGGCCAAGCGAGAGGCCTCTCGCCATGGCCAGCCCCAAGGGCCCCTGTGCCCCGGGTCCTCGCCGCCACAGAGCCCTCTCAGGGCGCACCTCACTCCCAGGCGAGTTTACAAAGAGCCATACAAACCCCACTTGCCCGCTTCTGTTTGAATGACCAGGCAGCACCCACTTGCCGGCAGCGGGCGTGCAGACAGTGCCGAGGGGCGATCGATGGGAGGAAATGGGGGGGCCGTCTGCGAAGTTAGGCTGCTGCACTGCCATTATTGATTTTACCTAGTTCAGCTGGCCTTGTAATTAAAATGTAAATTCGAGAAAGAGATTATGTCCTGACAGAAATGGTGGGATTAAGGGGAAGATAAAAGCCCCTCAGTGCAAATTCAGAGCAAGGAATGAGCAAAAAAGAGCACTGCGCTTCTGCAGCCGAATGATTTACCCACCACGGGAACTGGAAACCCAGCGGGAGAGATGGCCTGGGCCTGCCGCCCAGTGGACCCCCGCCGCTGCCTGATCCCTGAATTCTCACACATCTGAGAGATGAAGCTATGGGGCATGGGGAGCCACCCACCGTCGTCCCTGACTGGGGGTCCATACCCACCCAGGGCATCATGGGGCCAGCAACCCACCGACGTCCCTTCTCACACATCTGAGAGATGAAGCTATGGGGCATGGGGAGCCACCCACCGTCGTCCCTGACTGGGGGTCCGTACCCACCCAGGGCATCATGGGGCCAGCAACCCACCGACATCCCTGACTGGGGGTCCGTACCCACCCAGGACATCACGGGGCCAGTGACCCACCATCATCCCTGACTGGGGGTCCGTACCCACTCAGCACATCACGGGGCCAGCGACCCACCGTCATCCCTGACTGAGGGTCTGTACCCAGGACATCATGGGGCCAGTGACCCGCCTCATCTCTGCTCAAAGCCTCTTCACCCCGGGGACTGACCCCAGGTTAATAGCCCACATCTGGGACCTCTACCTGGTGGATGCTGTGTGACCTCAGCACAGAGGGCCCAGCAGGCCCGCAGCCTCTGTCTACATGGGACAGTCACCCCTCTCGGGAACCCCTGGCCTTAGCTTGGGCGGCAGCTACTGCTCTGCCCTAGTCTTGTTCCCTGCACCCCAGTGCCTGAAGTGCCTGTGCTGGTCTCCTGCCTGCTGCTGTGTGCTGCCCGGGGCCTGCTGGGGCCACCTCAGATGACAGAGAGGCTGCCCTGTCCTACAGCGTCCACACCTCAGTGAACACCTGGGCCGCAGCTGGGCATTATGCCTTCCCTGGTCTTGACTCTCTGACAGACAGGGGCATGTTGGCTGCACATGAAGCTGTGCTCAAAGTCCTCTTGTCCCCGGCCACCTTCGACAGGCGTGCCTGCAGTGGGCACTGGAGGCATGGCCTCCGAAGGTGGACAGTCATACGGAGCAAGTCAGGGCTGTCCAGCCGGTAGCCTCCCTCCACCCGGGGACTCCTCCGTGTGTGGGCCTCAGCATGGCGTGACTGCCGCAGAGCTGTCAGCCTCAAACACCAGCTACCAAGGTGCACGCAGACGGCCACTCCTGCTCCATCCGAGCTCTGCTGGCCGCAGCCCCGACACTCCACACACCCCACCATGGGGCTCGGCTGGGTCCCGACGCGTCACCTCCCCCAGGCGGCTGACCAGTGCTGCCCATTTGTACTTCAGCCTCCTCGGGGGTTGACGCCGGGAGCCAGGCAACAGCACCTGTCTTATTACTGCTGCTGACCACACGGCCAGGCGGACCCTTGTCATTCCTCACACAAGGACAAGCTCCCTGCAGCGAGTTACTTCTGGCCACGCTCCACAGTGAGAGCGTGGACGCAGGTGAAAAGCAGCAGAAGTGCTTCGGTGAATCAAACATCACACTCGGCACTTCTGGGGAACCCAGTCCGGGCTGATAGCTTCACACCGTCTGTGATAAGAGCCCTGAAGCCGTCAGAGCAGGGACGTTCTCGGGGTCCTCGGGAACATTCCGATGCCAAGACACTAACAGAACTCCCAGCTGAGGGCCGATGCCCACTCCAGGGCTCCGGAAGACAGCCGGGAAGGGGTACTCTGGCCAGTGGGCAGGCCCCTTGCCTCTGCTGAGCACCTGGACGGATGAGGTGGGAGCGAGGACGCAGCACCACTGGGGATGGACAGTGTCTGGACAGACATGCCATGAGCCCCCGGCTTTAGCCCACAGGCTCTTGTCCCAGCTGCCCCCACCCTGCGCAGGGGTGGACTTGGGCCTGAGGTGCCTCTTCAGGAGCCAGCAGAGGACACAAAGGAGCCCAGCGGGAGGGGGGCAGAGGTCGGCCTGGGTGTGGGGAACAGTGGCCACTGCACCTTCTAGGGCCTGGTGCTACGTGTGTGGACACAGCAGTGGCTCCCAGGGGACACTGGCCAAGGGACCTGCCACCCTTCTAGGATAGAGGCAGAGGAAACCGGGAGCCGGGCAAAAGGTGATTTCTGGTGGAAGCGGAGTCAGGAAGGACCAACTGGAGAGCGTGGAGTCAGAGGGAGACTTCAGGAAAAGAAGGCGCCAGAATGGAGCAGGAAGGTCCAGGCAATGGGTGGAAGGGTCTGGAAGGCTGAGGTGGAGCCGGTGAGGGGGCGGGGCTGCCTCACACAGGAGGGGTGTGTGTGTGTGTGTGTGGGGGGGGTGTCCATCTGTCCGTGCACCATGCCCTCCCCATCACCACCTTGCACAGGAAGCCCTGGAGGGCAGGAAGCCGTCCTAACAGCACCCCCCGTTGGAAAGGGGGCACAGGCGGGGAGGCAGCCAGCATGGGGTTACTCAGCAGGCCCAGTGGAGGCCACCTTACTGGATGCCGGGCACACGCTGACCCCCAGGTGCTTGGCCGGTGGAAGCCCAGGTCCCCCTGCACCACGGCCGGGCCGCGTGGCCCCAGAGAACGCAGGTGCAGGAGTAAACAGGCCTGTACAAATGGAAGGTCGTTAAAAGTCTGGTCATGTTAATTTGGCATGACACCCCTAATGGGTTATATCTTCACACTTGAGTTGCCTAATCATCTAAATTCTTTTAACAAATTTACATTTCATCTTACAGACTCCGACTCAAATCGACTTGTCTAATTCGCCACAAAAGCCCCGGCCTTGTTATTTGATTCCTCTCTGTGCAACACCCAGCCCACCCCATGCGGCCGGTCAGCCATCCGAGGGGCCTGGGGCTGACCACCCGACCCCGCGCAGCCACTATCCACACGTGCAGGACACGGTGCCCACCCCATGCAGCCCCTGCTCGATCAGTCATCTGAGGAGCCTGGGGTGACCACTCGTCCCCGCACAGCCACTATGCACACGTGCAGGACACGGGGGTGGAAACGCTCCTACAAAGGAACCTGTGTGTCACCGGGACAAGTCACGTGTAAGCAGGTGTCTGGGTGGAGGTGGGAATCCTGACCTCAGAAGCAGCAGAAGGGCTATGTCTGGCAGCCCCGCCCACACCTCCCTCCAGCTGGAAGACCCCACCCGCCACTAAAACTGCGAGTCCACTGCCCTTTTAAGGACACCCAGCTAAGAGCAATGGCGGCGCAGGGGGTTACGTGCTGGGCCACTGGCCAAGGGGCAGCAGCACAGACCGATCACCTGTTCACCAGGAAAGATGCAGCAGTCCGCTCCCTCCGGGGCCCACGGCTTGCGGAACCCCGGCCCGCGGAGCCACGACCTGCAGATCCCGGGCAGCTCCAGTCCATGCTGCAAGGTCGCGTGCCTCGGTGCCCACGTGAAGGCAGGAAGCGTGCATGAGTGCGTGCCTACCTGCGTGTGAGCCTGCATGTGCGCGTCGTGCGTGTGCTTGTGCCCGCCCGGGGAGCGGCACGTGGCGGGAGGCCTGCCATCCACCCACGGTCCGGGCACAGTCCCGCAGCTGAGAGCCAGGCAGCCTGTGCTGGGGTGCACTGGAGCCCCCCACGGGGAATCTGAGGCGGGCAGCCAGGACCCACTGCCCTGCAGGTGCCCCGCAGGTGCCCAAACCTACAAAGGGCTTCCGCTGGGAATCCGAGGCGGGTGGCCAGGACCAGGTGCCTCGCAGGTGCCCACCCCTGCAAAGGGCTCCTCCTCCGGAAGGGCTCACTGGGGGGGTCACGTCCACCCACAGCCCATGCTCCTGGCCCAAGGCCTACAGTGTCGGCAGGACGTGAGCGGAGGTCGTGGGGGCACCACGCACCACAGAAGAGGCCATGTGCTACAACCAGAGACCCTGGACTCCCGGGAACCACCCCTAAACAGGGACAACCCACCCCTGCCTCTCCAGCTGGTCCTGCCCTACCCAGAACCCTCAGAGCACACAGCTCTCCTGCCTTGGGGCTCCACACCACACCAGCACCTCTCAGCTAGGCCACCCCCACATCAAGGATGTGTGTACCTTCTCATACCCCAAAGTCCAACATCAAACCAAACCACAAATTAGACCCTCGCTCCCCAGGCCTTTCACCCCTCCCTGGGCTGTGCCCCTAGGCCGCTCATCCCCTCCCCGAGGTCACCTCCCTGGGTTGTTCCCCAAGGCCTCTCCCCCTCTCCCCAAGGCCACCTGCCCTAGGCTGTTGTCTGCCCCACCCCACTCTGGGAGGGGTCTGCCTGTCCCAGCCGCACCCGCACCCCCACCCCAGGGAGCCCTGTCCCCCCTCAATCCCTGGCACTCACCGTATTCTGCCCGCAGATGGTCAGGGATGTGGGGCTCGTAACCTTCCTTCTCTGGAACCTCTACAAAGTCGTCCTCCTCGTCCTCGCTGCCGTCCCCCATGACGGCCACCTAGGGAGACAACCCGCCCATGAGCTCCACATGCATGCAGACCTGCCGGCCAGCCACTCCGGGGTCTCCGCTCTCCAGGACACTGCTCTCCAGCAGAGGACTTAAGCACCCTCTAACCGGAGGAGGTGCGTGCTGGGGTCCCCAATGCCACTCTGGTTCCTGAAAGAATCCATCCCCTCCTGCTTCCCACAGCAATGCCAGCCAAGCCAGATGAGGACCAAGGGGCCAGGACAGAGGGTGGCCAGTCTATGGGCACAGCCGTAAGAAGTCCACGACGAAACCACAAATTAGAACACCTGCAACCTCACCCCCCCCCACGTGTCTTCTAACGGGTGGGCACACTTCTTTTTAAAAGTGCCCAGTAAAACAGCGATATCACCCGTGTAAAGTAGCCCCGCGGCCTAGGCAACAGTGAACATTTTCACAGGAATTAGGTACCAGACCTGCGGGGTGCAGGTGACCAAGCCATCTGCACCCTAGCATAGCAGTCGCCCTGACTTAAAACGGTTGCGCTGTGTGAGCGTGTGACACTGCCACGGCCAGATGGACACCAAGGGGCCCGGACATGGGCTCAGAGGGTGGCCTGCCTGTCGGCACGGCCCAGGAGCTGTCCCATCAGAGGACCCGTTTTCCTGAGTCTTTCCTGACCCTGAACTGTACCCTATTACCTGACACAGTGCCCACAGCAAAGGGCTCAAGTGTGTCAGCGACGAAGAGGACAGCATGGGCTCTGTTGTCTGTGGCCTCACGGAGTCTTACTCAACTCGATGGCACCTAACAACAACTTCTCCTATGAAGCCTATAACCATGTAGTAGTTAATAATAAAGACAGCCGTCACCCGGTTCTCAGGACAGGCAGACTCGGAGAGACAAGGCCAGCCGCTGCACCAGGCCCTCCCCAGTGTGGGTGCAGGTGCACTGCCCAGGCAGACGACAAGTGACAGGCACTCGGAGCGTTTGTCCTTACGTGCTGAACGGTGAGCACCCCCCAGGGCAGAGCTGCTCGACACCTGTGAGCAGGGCCTGTCAGCCCCTAACAACGTCTAACAACGTCACGGCCGAGTACAAAGCGGCAGAGGGCAGACATGCTCGGCACTCCTACGTCCACACTGATTCCCTGCAGCACACAGGAACCCGGGCCGACCTGCACCGTCCGCACTGCCTCTGCTCAGCTCGCCCACCGCAGCAGCTCCTGCTGCAGCCTCCTCTCACTGGGGGGCTTCCTCCTTCACTGACTCCCCACCGTTCCCAGCAGGACCCCTAGCCATTTCCCTCCTCACAACAGGAGATGGAGTCTCCTCGCCTCCTGCACCTCTTCAACCCCGATTCGTCTGTTCTTTTGGCCGTCCGTGGGGTAGCCAGGACTCTTCGCCAACACCACAGTTCAAAGACAGCAATTCTCTCTCGGTCTCCTTACTCGTTGTTCAAGGTTCACATGCACACGGAGCAAATGAAAATACTCTAGACAGCATTGGTCAGCTGCATTGGCCTTAATCTTGAGCACGTTAAAGAGGTCCCTGCAGACCTGCCCAACGTAATACGTCACGTTCTTGACTGCCGTTTCCATGGGTGTCGATTATGGACGCAAGACTGTGCCCTGGGTGAACACAAAATCCCTATGACTTGTTTACTGAGATATTTGCTTTATTGCAGTGGTTTGGACTTGAACCTGCAATAGACGCAAGATATCGAGAAGGGGAGACCTGTGAGAACAGCACCGACTGAGAACAGATGACAGGCCCTTTCACAATCTGCCAGCAAAACTCTGAACAGCTCAACCCTGCCGACTGGACCTCACATGCACACAGAGATGGGACGTGTCCTAAACAGAGCGAGAGCTCTCCCAGAGCCCGAGGCCCAGGCTGGTCTGGGGTGTGGCCAGGCCCCAGCTGCCCTCCTGCCACGTGCGGTGGACTCCCGGGCGTCAGAAGCCACACCTGGCTGTACCTGCAGGCGGTGCCAGCGTCAGCACCCTGCCCCAGACGCGTAATCAGATGCAAATGTGTCGTGTTTGGGCACGGCCCCCGCGGTGCATCTGGGAGCCACCGGGGACATTAATCACGGGGCCCGTGAGTTTTGTTATCACTCTAACACTGATCAAAAGGGAAGCCTGTCTCCACCGCTGACCTGTGAAACGTCCCAATTATACTCTTTGGAAATGACAGGGGCACTTAACTCCCGAGCTGAGCAAATGACGACGATCAATCACGTTTGAATAACAATGAGCCGCGGACCTGAAAATTATTTTTGTATAGAATCTACCCAGGAATTTATGAAAGGTGCGAGGCAGCCAAGGTTCCCCGGCATTATGGCTCGCGGCTCGTGCCCTGCGTATCAAACACTAAACAGAATTTATGTGTTTTAATTTTCTAAAAGGTAGATGTGGGCCCGGTGCTACAATGCATAACATAACGCCAGATTTTAAATATGGGGGTCATTTTCATAAAGGATGGAGCTCCCCTGCACACACCCTTGAATTGCACTGGGGACTTTCCTTCCATTTCTTTTTCCTAAAAATATTTAACTGCTGAGCTAACTATTAGGAGTTATACCTCCTTTCTCCCAGTGAGACGGCTTCCTCCTGGGGTCAAGCCTGGAGCCCTGGGTGCCCCTTTGTCCCTAAAATGGTCCTGACAAGGATGTCCTCTCGCCATGCCTGGCCAAGCTGGCTAGGAACGGGCAGGCCATCAGCAAGCCTGTGACCACGCTGAGGCCACCGGCCCTCGTCTCACAGAAGCAGTTTTTCTTTGGGCTGACTACCTGGAGGTCCTCTGACAAAGGCTTTCCTCTGAAAACCCCAAGCTGACGGCAACAGTCCCTGTCCACCTTAGCGGCCACTCACATGCCTGCAGAGGAGTCCGGTCGCACTGCCACCACTGTATTCAGCTTGAAGGTTCCCCAGTCTCCCATTTGCTCACGAGTGGTGAACTCGGTTGTCAGGGAATCTGCAGTGCAGGCTGCCCCCCTGGGCCCTGGACACCACAATCTCTGTGGCTGAGGAGGGCAGGGAGGCAGGAAGAGGCCCTGACCCAAGGGCCTGCAGTCACAGCTGGGCACTCCTGAGACCTGGGGGCTGACACCCACGTGGCGGTACAGGAAGGACACCGCTGGACCAGGGCCCACGTCTCCCCGAGACCACCCTCTGAGTGTCCCTGCTGGGGAGAGGCCCACTTCCACTGCGAAAGAAGAACCACGGGAATCATTGAATGGTTCCTGATGGGAACAGGAGCCAGGCAACCTTCCCTCCAAGGTGAATGCCATGCCAGATGAAGCCAGTCCTGACAGACACGTGGGGACAGCCATGGCAGCGCTGGGCAGCATCTGGTGGCAGTCCTCTGGAGGCCACAGTTGGGGGGCTGCAGGTCTCAGGAGGCTGCTCTCGGCTGTGGGTCCGTCCTAAACCCATCCATTCTCCAGGGAGCTGTCCCTGGAGACAGTTTCCATGATGTCCAACTGAGAGAAGTCCCCAGGAACGGCCACCAGTGAGGGCTGAGCTATCCTTCCTATAAACAAATCGAGGCAGACCTCACCCCCCATCTGTGGAAAACAAGGCCCAGCCGGCACCCTGCTCCTGAAGGCCTGTGTCCTGGAGGAAGGGGGCCAGTCCACTAGTAGCAACAGGCCCCCTTGGGCCCGCCGAGTCCTGCACGGTGGCCAAGTGGCCAAGTGGGGGGCCCACAGTGACCAGGCGTCTGGACAGGAGTCTCGGGCTCCGGGCGGGTTTCCCACAAATTGATTCTTACCACAGTTAAAAGGATTTAGAAAAATGAGCCTCTGCGATCATAATTAAACAAGCAATAAAACGGCTAAAATATACAATGCAATCAGTTTACGGAGGGGACGGCGTGAGGACTAATTACTGGCGAGGGCCAGGGAAGAGGAAGCGCCACTCGCAGCCCCGTGGCTGCCCGCGCGCCCGGCCGGGGACTGCAGCTGGCCATTAAATAAATTCTGTACGATCTAATTAACTTGGCGCACAATCTCAATTACTTCTCACCCAAGAAATCACTTTTGTTCAGTTTTATGTGTGTCTGTTTCCCTTTCCTAAAAAAAAAAAATAAATAAATAAAAAAAAAATGATGTAAGGCGTCGTCAGACAAGTGGACTTAAACTTCATTTGTCTTTCAGCGGGCTTGATGGCTATGCATTTAAAAACCCATTCTATCTTATAAACTAAAAATTAAATGTACTCAGCTGTGATGGTCGTCGCTGCATCTGCTATTTATATGCTAATGCCCTCCCTGCAAGACCGTGCAAATTACCCCACCAGGCCGCTATCTCAGGCATCTACGGGCCACTGCCAGCCAGCACCTTCCCCAGGCCACTGCGGTCACAGCCACGTTGGCCACACTGACCATGGTGGGCCGGGCACACGGGACCCAGAGGCCAGCCAGCTCAGCCCACAAGACTGTCTCCTGAACCCAAAACTTCCAGAAATTATCCTAAAGCCATGATATTGTCCAAAATGACTGTCTTCTTTTGGAATTGATATTTGTTAAAAGGATTATTTACAGTAACATTGGGCAAGGCTGGAGAGGGGCAGCTTTCTCCTGATCAGCCTTGATGCTCATCTAACTTTAACCTACACAGAAATGAGATGTGGGACTCCTGGGTGATGCCCGCGCTGGCCACCGGTGTTCCTGGGACCCAGGCCTGGGCAAGTGCCGGGAGGTCAGGACATCCCCAGGCTGTGCTGGTGCTGGGAGGTGGGGAGAAGCCTAGCAACCAGCTCTCTGGGTCCAGGAAAGCAGCAGACAGCTGGCCGGGGGAGTGGGAGGGGACCCGGCACAGTCCGCTCCGGCACAGTCTGCTCTCCTGGGTGTCGCAGTGTTGGCTGTCCCTGCAGTCAGCTGTGGCCTACGTCCTGCGCGGCGGCTGTGTGGTTCGTTCCCACAGCACAGGGACCGGTTTAAGAAGTGCACTCGGGAGAAACGGCAGTGGTGCGTCTGCTTGAGCTGAACCTGACGCAGGACTGACGTGGCCTGCAACGGAGTGTGTAA